ATCATCTCCAGGCCTTACTCCCAAGTTGACCCTGTTTTCTTAATTGTCCTTGCCTTCTGGTAGCTCTGCGCATGCGCACACTGGGAACAGGCTCCCGCTGTTCTTCTGCCTCACTGATGTCAGGCTCCAGAGGCAACACATAACAACCAGATGGCCTTGGTCCGTTCTCTGCCTCTGATGCAGAGCCTTCCCCAAAATCCAGGACTGGCCCATGTTCCTCCCCAACCTCCTCACTGTCCGAATCTGCTGCCTGGTGGGCCACAATTCCCTCATAATTTCTGATGTTTTAAACTTCTCCTGGAATGAAGCTTTAAAGCATATATATATTCAGGGCCATGAGGACTAGTAATTTGGCTTATTTAGGATTGGGGAGGGGGCAGCAGACGTCCATAGTCAATACAATATTCAAGATGTTTCCTTTTTTTTTTTTTTTTTGCTTTGCGATCTCACTAAATGTATAAGATTTCTGAGGACCTAGTTTAATAACAGATTAAGAAGAGTCGGAAGGAACTGTTCAGGTCATCTAGTGTCCAACAAAAATAAAATAATCCTTTGGATAAGAATAAAATATTTACCTGTGAAGTTTCCAAAGGATGCCCTAATTAATTTACGAGCCTCGAGACAAAGTTCAAAAGAACTCCAGTCATTTACTGGGAGCAACATTTTAGCATGTTCTTCTATGGAGCCGAAACTGATTTCCGGTTCATGGTCTCGGAACTTTACCCCTGTGTCTTCCCTCCCCTCAGTCTGTGTCATAAATCATATTCACCAATGAGGTGCTTCAGCAGGCTGTGAATTTGCACCTCACACGCCGGCTGTAGAAATCTGAGATCCGACTCTGGTTGAAGGTATGCATGGAATTCTTCCTTTTTCATGTCAACTTGATAATAGTCATGGAAACGCTTTACAAGTTGACACTACCGTTGATACCATAGAAATGATAGGACGTTCTTTTTTCTTAAATGAAAAAACAATAATAATCGTCCATTTTCTAATACTTTTCCTTGGTCATTTTTTTCTCCTGGTTTTGGGAAGTTTGTCGAAGTTCAGCCCAACGATGGGTTCGGGGTGCTACTACCTCTGGAGAGCTTGACCCTGGATGTCATCTTCAAAGCCAAGAAGGCGAAATTGTACAGCTTTGAACTCACTTGCAAGACGGAAATCAACAGGTATGGGGGGAGGGGTGTCAGTTGCCAATTCCGTGATGCTGTTGGGCAAAAGAAGATTTTGAGGAGTCACAGATTCAAAGCGAGGTCCTCTTAGGGTTCAACTCACCCTAGCTAGAACAGAGGGCTCCATATTTAGCCTCCGGCACTTTTTTACACCGCTAACAGAGCCGAGGTGGCGCAGTGGTTAGGGTGCAGTACTGCAGGCCACTTCAGCTGACTGCTATCTGCAGTTCAGCGGTTCAAATCTCACTGGGTCAAGGTTGACT